GGGGTAATTTTCCAGGGGGTAATTTTCCAGGGGGTAATTTTCCAGGGGGTAATTGTCCTCCTGGGGTGATTGTCCGTGGGGGGGGGGGGTTTATTTTACTGGGGGTAATTTTACAGGGGGTAATTGTCCTTGGGGTTGTTTTTTGGGGGGTAATTTTCCGGGGGTTAATACCCAGGGGGTAATTGTCCTAGAACCGTGATGACGCTTTCTTATCGTCAGCTACTTACCCGATTTATGGAACATAATCGACTCAGTAATTTAAAGTAAACATAAAAACTTGTTTCCTGATTGAGTAAGAGCGACTTCAGGTGGTATTCATGATAGTAGGCCCTACTAATTCCATTTTATTTATATATATTTTTTATTACCATTGGTTGTATATACTATTTTTTATTACCACTGATGTACTTTGACATGCCTCAGTATGCACATTGTGTTTGGTTGATGGAAACCTCAATGTTAATAAGTGGAGAGCTTTATGACCTTCAGAAAAATTGCTATTGAAGAAAATTTAAAACAAATGATATGCTTTTATTTAAATATCACAAGTAATGTAAAGCATTGTTTCCCTAAGAATCACCACACGCTATCGCTGATTCCTCTGGCGACGCTATTGGTCAGTTGAATCAGAGACCGTTCCGAATTACGTCGGGGACAGCTACACTGCTACACAGGGTAAGGATTACAGCGAAAGCTGTAGCGACTCTGTAGCGATTCTATGGAAACAAGGCATAATTACTGTAGAATTAATCTTTTTTTTTTCAATTCTTGTTATAATAGGATTCTGTGTATACTTTGGTTACGGTATATGCAACAGCAACGAAAGAATGCACCAATCCGATGAAGAAGACAAAAATAAACGGTTAATTGACGATTACGAATCGATGGCGGAGCCAAAAATTGATGAAAGAGCTAAACTGGTGAATGGTCACTAAAAAAAGGAACATAAAGTACTATAATTGATTTTCTGGAGTGCGTTCTGCGGTATGACAGGCCCGAGTTCTCTGAACTTCACACTTACCAAAGAACATTTTGAAACTACACTTCAATATAAAACTGTACTGTAGATCTTCAGTAACATAGTAAATTAATCATTTTGTATCTCATTTTACAATTGAAACAAAGCCCTATGATCCGTTATACAGATATAGTATTATTAGTAGGCCTATCTCCACCAAGGCGATTATGTCATCTGTGTCTGTCTGTCTATCTGTCTGTTAGCAAGGTTACACGAAAACTAGGAAATGAATCACTATAACATTTAGTCGAATGGTACATAATGATCTAAGAGATGATTACACTTTGGGAACTACAAAGGTCAAAGAACCTTTTTCACCCCCGAGCATTAAAGGAAATAATGGAATCGCCCATACACAGTCTGCGTATTGTTCGGTATCTAAGCACAGGGCGGAGGTATGTACTCTATGGAATGACTGTTAGTTATTATTACGAAAGTTCCTCTGCTAGATGTGTAACCGAAGTTTATCTACCAATGATAAGACAAAGGTGAGCCTTTAGTAGGCTTCACCTAGTATCCTTGCTGTTCCAGGAATTGAGGTTTTCTGGACAATTTTATATATTTTATCTATTTTTAAGGGCAAAGATATCCTGTCTTGTCGTTCAAAATGCTTAGAAGAGGGCGTATCTTGTTTAAGATATTCAAATTAAATTTCACTTTGTTTAATTTTTACGCTTCAAGTTATATTCTCGTTATAGCCGAACAGATTTTTGGCATAAATTGGGAAAATAACTGCAGTTAAAACAAAATGCAATATCGTTATTATATTATTAGTACAGTATTACATATTAATCAGTTGGATAAGAATTTTAAAATAGAATTACAGTAGGCGTATTTGTGTATGTTTAGGTATAGTGACCCGTTTCCAACTTTTACAATTCTTTGGCATACAGACTGTTATAATTACCACAAAACAAATAAAGAATTAAAATACCAATTTATTTCTTTTATTAAGTAGGGTTTTTTTTTTTTTCTTTTTCCTTTTTGAGTGTTTCACCATTGCTTCCTCCAATATTATTTTCAAAAGAAACAATTCTTGGAATATAGTTGCTAAAAACATGTTTCCGTGTGTCCTCACTTATTCTTGTGGACTAGGCCCTATATAATTTATATATATACTTCTTTATATAATATAAATGTTAAAAAATATTTAATTTCAAACAAACAAAATGAATATTTTATTATTAATGTATGCCTTGATAAAATAGAGCCAGCTCGTGTCTGTATACAGTGAAAAAGCCATAAGTTTGAATTGAAATATTTTATGTGGAATTAAATATTTAAATGGCTGTATTATTGAATTACTAGTGTGCTTCACTGAGCACAGATTGAACTTTGACACTATCTTATGTATCTGTCTGTATCCATCAATAGGCCTACATGTCTTGACCCTTTTTATCAATACAGTATCATAATTATCCATAATCTAAATTTTATAACTGAATATCTTAAGTTTAATTGCATATACAAATTTAATGGTAATATTTTATATGTAAACATTATTTGTATTTTATTTTGTTGAATGGGGTTAAATAACCACGTTCAAAGTGATTTATTTTGATTTTTAATTGTCTTACTTTGTGTTTTGTTTTTTGAATATTGTATTTTTTATCAAGTGACGAATAAATGAAATGAAACCAATACAGATCCATGCACTGTCTGCAGTTGTAGAAGTGAGCGTCTGGCCAAGAGGTAGTGTTCCTGCTCTTGCGCTGAAGACCCCGGTTCAAATCTGGCTATCACCAGGTTCCAATTGAATTGCTCTTCTTGAATAACCCTTTCATGGAAAAGGTATTCCATAGGTGGATTCAAAGGGGTCCACTCAAAAATATAAGAAATGGAGAAAAAAAAAAATACCAAACTCTGATAGCAACAATTCCGGCAATCTAGAGGTGCAATATTTGCCTCAGTCCCAATGTTGGTGGACGAGGAGTCAGATTTCCCCGACGAAAGCAATATGGGCGCGGTCGAGCTTCAATTAAAATGTTTCGAAAGTGGTCCAGGGGGCGAGGCCATCGAATTGTGCTTTTTCTCCCCGGGGGGGGTTGTGGTCCCCCCACCCGCTGGCGCCATGCCTGAACGGAAATCAATCAATTAAAAATGTTAATATTCAAAGCGTCAATAATACAAACTTCGACTAGCAGGCCATTATTCTTGACAATATAAAACATATTTTATTACTATTAAATGTCAAGATCTAACACAACAATCATTCTGTGATTTTAACTGTTCATTGAATGTAGATAGCGTTCTTGTCTGGTAAATCTGTATACTGTACCTATTCAACTGAATGCCGCACTTTTAATAAAATCGCTCTTACCCAAACATCATTCGGAATAAAGAGGGTTTTTCTAATTTTCATCAGAATTCAAATCACCTCACATGACTAAACAAAACTATTGCAATAAACACCATTCTATCATCAATGTTTACTTTAGCAGAATCAACATTTTGTGTGGTGGCCAACTGTTTCCATTAAATACACTCCCTTAAAAAATGAAGACATGACTGGAGTGTTTATTGACATAAATATGGTATCTTAAAATATACCACAAAGTTCTTGGGAGTGAATAGAATTTTTGGTTATGTATTTGTTAAGTAAAATTCAATAATACAATACACAACATTCAAATCATCAAATCGACCTCTTTGCTTCTACCATACTTTCATAAAGCTGCCTGCTACCTGGAAAACAGCACAATTTTTCTAGCTGTTTCACAAAGAAATGGCATGTCCTATACTTCGTTTTACATTGCTGAAGTCGAATTCAAAATGGCATTGACAATTGTTTTGACTTTTACAGATCATTAATTATTGGAAAATACAACAATCTGACATGTAAAATAAGATCGACTTAGAAATTTAAGTTAGGAAAAGTCGACTTATGCCAGTTTAACTATATCCACATTTGGTTACCTTAGAAGTCAATATTTTTTGGTCTTCACCACCAGAAATTACAGTAATACTATTGGTAATTTATATCTAATATTTCAATAATTATTTCAGCATACCTTGTCATTGTATTTAACAAGTATAATATTTTCAATTGAGTATAAAAAGATAGATATTTTAACTTTTATGACACAATTTACCACTACAATCATCTATCTGAATAATAATCAAAATATTCAATCAATCAATCAATCAATCAATCAATCAATAAGTCAGTCAATAAGGCGAGATTTTTATATACCTTGTTTTGTGCACCCGCGCCCACAAATATTGATGATTATAAATACAATTTTTTGGCCAATTACCGAATCTGTTGCCATGAAAAAAACTGAAAATTTCAGAAAAAAAGGAGTTTTTTCTTTATTTTTATTACGCCCACCACTGCCATGAAATCTTCAAAAATAAAATGTCTGGATTTTCCTAATTTTAAAAATTTAAAGCATTTAACCATGGACCTATTAAAAAAGGTCCATGATTTAACCATTTATTACTACACTGTTTACATCCAACAATAACATTTTATTACTTTTTTTCTCCTTCTCGATGTTTTTGGCAAAACTGCTTGCCAAATAAGAAAACAAAATTTTATTTTTATTTTGTTTCCGCCCTCCAATGACAATCTTTAAAAATATAAGTTCGCGAAACAAGGTATAAAGAAAGTCTTGTCTAGGTTATTTCACACACAGTACTTTGAATGATTTCCATGCGGTACTTTCCACTGCATGCATGCATTTTACACTAAAAAATGCTAGCAAACGAGGATAAATGTTTTCCAGCAAGTATAATTTTCAGAGAATATAATGCAAAATAGGTGGTCTTGATAATACCATATTTTACCTCTATTGACACCTGGAAAAAATAAAGCATCCAGACTATAAGATAATGAATTAATGTTTACCAAGTACTTGAAAACGCTTCACTAGCACCTAACTTACTACACAGCTCAGAATTCAAAGTGAAACTGACCATGTCAATAAAGTTTACACATCTAACAATTTGCATTATAATAATGTTTATGTTAGCTATACAAAAACATTTTTCAACCTTCTTTTTGACAGAACCAAAAATATGTATTTATAAATGTAATTTCACAACTAAAAAACACTGCAATATTGCTGCAACAATGTATTAAATACACTCTTTTATTGACATACCTAACTACAACAATCGCAACCACTATAATCTTTTAGTTTGCTAAGTATTTCTTTCAGTTATTAAATGACTCTGTTACTTGCAATAAAGTTGATCTTCTACAAACTGAAGGATCCCACTTGACATCTGATTGTTTGATCTCATCAAGAGTAGTTGGCATTGGTCTGTGTAAGAGATGGCAGCACAATTAAACTGACCATGTCAAGGCAGTTACTTCTTTCATTGAAGAAATGAAAGTAAAATTAGACACAGGAAATTGTTTTATGTTGTTACTTGTAATTTAGTTGATCTTCTTGTAGTGTTAAAGATCCCACCTGACATCTGACATCAATCTCATCAACAGTAGTTAGCATCGTCCTGTACAAGAGACGGCAGCGCAACTTAACTGGCCATGTCAATGAAGTTACTTCTTTCAGCGAAGGAATGAAAGTAACAACTAGCCACTGGAAATTGTTTTATATTGTTATTTATTGTTATTTGTAATTAAGTTGATCTTCTGTTGTCTTAGGGATCCCATCTCACGTCGACCTCATCGACAGTAAGTGGCATCAATCTGTGCAAGAGATGGCAGGGCGAGCTTGACTTTGCGTCGGTATGCAGGATCCTTTTGGATCGGATTTTGCTCCAAGTATACGGTCTGTAAAGTTTTGGCATTACGTAACTGATCCAGATCAGCAAAATTCTCTAACTGGTTTCCATTAAACTAGGTGGAATATTAGAAATCATATTAAAATCAGTGTAATAACTATCACAATTAAAATAATTAATAAACTAAATTGAACCAGGCAGAATACCAGAGTATAGGATAATTTACAATTAAATCAAACAAAATAAACATAATATATAATAAATAATATATAATGATAATAAAATATAATAATAATAGTAATTTTTATTTATAACAGCATAACAATCATAATATAAATTATAATAATGCAATTAAAACCACATTTCTTACCCAGAATTCCTCTAATTTTACTAGATGGCTGACATTTTCAATTCGCTTTATTCTATTGCATGCCAAGTCTAGCGTTGTCAGATTAACATTTCTCTCCAAGCCTTGAATCATTTCAATTCCATTGTGACTCATGTATAATTCTTCTAAGGACTCCAACTCCTCTAGATTCTCAATCGTAACTATCCGATTACTCTGTCATTAAACAAGAGGTACACTAATTAATGCAAATATTATGAGATAATGTATGCAATATTCTCAATTTATTTTAAACTTCAAGAATAAATGTTGATACATATTGACTGACATAATACACTGCAGGCATCAATAATGCTGAAGGGTTACAGAAGAAAGTGTATTATTCATAAAAATAACATCAATGATTGAGGGTTAGGGCGGAGTGTGACTTGTTACTATAGTTACAGGTCCATTAACTAAAGAGGGGTACTGGTGGCCAAATATCGACAATGTAGGGGTATTAGTGAAAGTGGCCCTTGTTCCTGGGGAAATAAAAATGCCGAGGCCCTAATGACAGGGTTTATGTGCAGCGTCGCATCATAAATTGAAATAAATGCATCTGGTCGTTTGGCATGTACTGTATTATCAATAATATTTATTCTAGTTTTCTACTTTGTTTACAGTCCAAAGTCAAATGCAACAGTATAGTTGAATCCAAAATGGCATTGAAAAATTATTTGAATTAGATAAAATTTGACTTACAAGTCAGTAATTAATGGAAAACACAACGATTTGGCATGTAGAATAACGATGACTTCGGAATGATTTGAGTAATAGGCAAAGTCAACTTAGGAAAGTTTAACCATAGTTTAACCATGGTTTAACTGTACTTCTGTACTACTTACTATTGTTGTAGTGTACACTAACCTGTATGCTTAATACTCTCAGTTTCTTTAGGGCACCCAAGTTTTCAAGTTTACTAATTTTATTCTTGCCAATGAATAAACTCTCTAGATTGACCAATGAGTCCAAATTTTCCAGTTTCTGTAACAAAATTAACAGTTTGTTGCATCATCTCACACTATGGAACAACTTTAGAATGATATACTGTATCTGTCCACAACAAGAAATTAGGAGTATCCTAAAATGAAAATACTTGCATAACCAAAAACTTAATGAAATTGTTTTCTACTTTAAATTAATCTCTACAATCACTGACCTTACATCTGACCCCTCACTTTTCCTCTCATTGAAATTTTTAATAACTGTCACTATGACTTAACACTTTTGTCTTTTGTCTATTAATGAGGTTAAATGGTGTTATTGGTAAAAGTATAATAGAGAGATCAAATTGTGTCTCGTGTCACAATTATCATTAATAATTCTGTTAACCATCACCATTGCCTTCATCATTGTCATTAAATAATATAATATGGTATTATGTATATTGTATTTTATGTAAATACCAAATAAAAGGGCATGACTTTTATATTAATTTCTATTTATCCTGGAAATACAACAATTTTATTAAAAAGAAATATTAGTTTATCCAAATTCAAAATGACCTGCTTCCTGTCTCACCCTGATTCTATTGCTACCCAGTTCTAACATGGTGATCTGCGTCAATGTGGAGAGGTTCTGTATTCTGGAGATCTTGTTCTGGATCAGGAACAGCTTCTTGACATTCACCAGCATTTCCAGGTTCTCCACCTCACGGATGTCATTAAAGGAAAGATCCAGTGACCTTCAAGGGAGAGAAAAAAAAATGTCTAATTGCCTCGCACAATTTTTCATGTGTAAGCTCTGTCTTTGAAAAAAAACCCGGTTGTATGCCCATATATAGTCATTATATGCCTATATATGGTCTTGATGTGATGTCATCATGACCACATTTAGGTATATCACATGTTTTGTCCTGTCTTGACACAGCTTTATGTTGTATTGGTAATTGCTTTAACATTCATCCACTCACAGTAGATTTGTTAGTGTTTGTAATCCCTCAATCTTTTTGAGTTTGTTGTCATAAAGGTCAAGATCCTCTAAGGTCACTAGTTGTTCCAATCCTTCTATCTGTTCTATTTCATTCTGACGCAAACAAAGACTCTGCAGAAGGAGAGGAAAAACGTTAATACAAAACAATGAAACACTACAACCAGAAGATTAATATTTATAAAACAAGGTGACTGACTGTCAAGTTACATTGGATACTATAGAAAATAAAATCCTTAGGAGCATCTACGTAATTCCTTCAAAAATTGCCTTTAGTTCTGCATTTTTTTTCAGAAAATGATGGCATATTTTGCTATTAGTGTCCTCAGAACTGACTATAATATTGCACAACGTTAAAACTCAAATAGAAGCCCAATGGGCTTAATCTTGAGAAGAGTCCATCTTGAATTGAAGCCTCCTCTTTAGTTTACAAAAGTAGCTGTGAAAAGAGACCCATCTTGAAAAGAAGCCCATGGCAACGGCTTCTTTTCGAGATAGTACAGTACATACACTGTACATGGATTTCAAAGAAATAAAATAAATTAAAAACATGCTTGGTTTATACAGTAATTTAGGTGAATTAATGCCGGTTAATACACTACATGATACCGATTGATGTTACAGTGGCCATATTTAATATTTTAACTCCCAAAATTAACAGCATTCATTTTGAAAAGAAGCCCCCTCTATATTTTGCAAAAGTAGCCTAAAAAAGAAAAGCCCATCCTAAAAAGAAACTCATCCAAATTTCGCAAAAAAATACGAAACTCAAGGGCTTCAATTCGAGGTCTTACGGTACTATAATTGTAAAAATGATGAATGAAACTTATGCTGACTTACAGAAACTTGATGGAGTACTTCAAGATGTTGAATCTTGTCAATTCTTCGATGATTTAAGTCAACATCCTACAGATACAAATTGTATTTAAAATAATAAGAAATATATAAAATACTTATAATATGCAATAATATAGAATTTGATAGAAAACTTTGTAAATTATTATTATTACTATTATGTAAATAGCCATCTGATACAGTACAAGACAATTGTTTGGCAGACATTGACTTGATACTGCTCTTTAAACTATAAATTTTGAGGTGAACCAAGTAGCTCCAACACCATTACTATTAGGAAAATAATGTATAGTTAATAATCAGTGGCTAGATACAAAAGTAGGTTTAATATTTACCGTTGCATCAGGGTCAATAACAATTGGCTGAGGGGGTGGTAACTGTACCGTATTCACCTGCCTTACTGGAGCACTATCTTCATCTGATTCATCCGACATGTTTTTCCTGTTGAAAATTTGTAAAAAATAAATTAAAACCCTGATCAAATAAGTTGTATACAGGCCTAATAAGAGGGCCAAGTAGTCAGGCTGAGAACTGAAAAGATCTTGCACAGCTTTAGTGGTGTTGGGGGGTGGATTTTCCCACGTTGGACAGGCCTGGACCTCCTGTCGTCCGATGCCACAGTGCGGTCACCGGATCAAAATAAAAAAGACAAATAATAATAATTTGCCTATCCAAATAACGTTATTGTTTTTGTCAAAACCATCCCTAATATTGTGGGATAAAAGCAGAATTTGGACACTTTGACAATACTAGGTAAGCCATAAAAACTCTCCCTGTAAACGCTACCTTTTTTTTAAATCGGGGACTCCGACTGAGGCCTACGGAAGGCCTATCTAGGCCAGGGCCTAGCCTAGGCATCTATGCCTCTACCTTCTCCAGTCCTCCTCCTACTACTAGGCCTAGGCCTACCCTACTCCTGGGGACCCTAGGCCTTGTCTAGCCTATTCCTCCAACAAAAATCAGAAAAAATTCAAACTACTGCAAAATACATTAAATGTAAAGAATTTTATCGTTACATTTTTTCACATTACCCTATATTAAATACAGTACTGTACTTACTTCGGCAGAAAATAAATATGAATTTGAGAACTGCAGAACCAGTGGGACGAGACTAACCGAATTTCTTCTTTGAGACGCCCTCACTCACTATTGTACTGTGCAGCAAAGATCTTATATAAACACTGTGCAGCTAGCTTTGGTGTGACGTGTGTAGTTTGTAAAGCACTATGGGGCGCCATAGCCAGCAAAACTCTAATGCTAAAATCAAACCAAGTTGATTATCATCAGTCCTACATATAGATGGTTTAATTTGCAAACATTACATGTATAAAAATTCTCTTAACCACAAGACAAAAATATGAATAAAAATAAAATAATAAAATACATAATGTGTTTGTTTTTTTTGTTTTAAGCAGCAAATGTGATTGGGCTAGGAGATACAGCGTAGCCTGGGTAAACAGTTTTAATTCTCTAGAGAAACTCTTTGGCCAGCGCTTCATAACAATTGGTGCAAATAGAAGAACTATCAATTATTTTAGTAATTAAAGTAAATTAAGTATTTAAAATTAGCTTTAGAATTATCGTCAAGTGCATTACATAAATTATGGAGTCCTAAAATGTAATGAAAATTATCACAGGTTGAGACAGGATTATAAACGACAGGCCCACTGTTAGATGAAGTGGATGCGATCTACAACCTCTGAATTTGCCTATTAACGATGAATTCGTCGAGAAAATGGTAATATTTTATGAGAAATAGTCTGTATTTCTCTTTTTTTTTTTATTCTTTTGCGTAAAATTAAAATTCATGCCAATATTTTTCCATGATTTATAGAAATTGGAGTAATGCAAATGCATATTTTCTAAAAAAAGTCAATTTTTAGTGAAATTTTGCCGGGAATGGGGCTTTAAAGTAAATTAAGTATTTAAAATTAGCTTTAGAATTATCGTCAAGTGCATTACATAAATTATGGAGTCCTAAAATGTAATGAAAATTATCACAGGTTGAGACAGGATTATAAACGACAGGCCCACTGTTAGATGAAGTAGCATGTTCATAAATTCCACTAATAAAACATCTATCTGTTTTCATTTAAATTATTTCATTGCATTTCATCTTTTATCAATATAATCATGGTTACAATTAGGACTTTTAAATGGTACTAACTAGAACTTTTATTTCACATTGGAAGAGTGCCAATTGGGAGTAGTATTTTTTTCGAAGTGAAATAAGAAATCTTGTTGGTCTTCCATAAAGTAATACTTGATTAGTAAAAAAATCTAACAATAAATGTTAAACTTATTACTTAATAGAAGACCAAGAACATTTTGGCCGTTTGCACTTTTTCATTTTAGAGGAAATATTAATTTAGTTAAGTAGATTTTTCTTATCTTAATTAGTTTATATATTTCGTATATATTTCATTCGTATTGTTCCCATCGGGATTTGAACCCAAGACCTTCCAATTACGTTTCGGATACACTACCGACAGAGCTCTATAGGGCCAAATTCGGCTTTGGATTTTTCCCTTATAGGATACGTTTTCTTTTTCTCTGGTAATACGAATCTTATAAAAGCACATGATAGTAGCTTTGTTATGGAGTTACACCACCACTGGTGATAAATAATGATTAAAATATTTTTTTGAGGAAAATACGTTATTTTCCCCATCGAGATTTAAACCCAAGACCTTCTGATTTCCGAGCAAAGCTATGAGAGGCGGCAACAAATTTCCAACTACACAGCCAATACGACACGTTTTCAGTTACAAATCCTTCAACATTAAGTTAATGAATTTTTGCTTTTGGCAACGTAGGGCTATTTTTTTTTTTTTTTTGGGAATAAAACTATAAAATATTAAAGATGTAGTTTTTTTGCACTATATTTTTTGTCTGCACCACAATTGTGCTAGCTCTATGTACCTTGAATTTCCGGTCTCTGATTTCGTTGCTGTAAAACAGATTTGCCCTTCTGGCGTTTCATATGTAAGAGGGAAAACAGATTTGCCCTTCTGGCTCATATGTAAGAGGGGGAGGGGGGGGGGGCGACACAACTGTTTCTACTGTGTCTGTCGCGCCGGTACTACTACTACTACTATTAGGCCTAGGCCTAGCTAAGAAAGAAATTTGAAAACACAGGTAAGGTTTAGGTTTTTACATTACATTCATACAACACGCATTGGGCTGTTAGTAGACTCAATTAACACATAAATCGGGTTATTTTAGTTTAAATACATGACAGCTGTTGGGTAAAGCCCGTCTCTGTTTGGGCGCTAATAATTAATAGGCCTAGGCCTAATACGGTTTCGCATCCGGCCGTAAAATTAATTACTAATTATTTAACACTTACAATTATTCAATGCTAATACATTCCTTGATGATTTGACTTTCCAATAATCCACTTATCATCCAATAATTATAGTTTCTAATTAGGCCTGAGTTTTAATTAACCATTAATTAAGACGGTTAACGTCTTCGCGGTGTACCATTTTCATACCCGGCTTGTTTGAATTCGAGTCAACTCTGCCCCAAGTCAACTCGGCCCCAAGTCAACTCGGCCCCATGTCAACTCGGCCCCAAGTCAACTCGGCCCCATGTCAAACAATGGGGCGCCGCGTACGACTCGATCTAAAAAACTTTTGCCACTGTTACATAACTGTGAATACATAATCTCCTTTTGCGGAGGTTGATATCGCCGCCATTTTCCATAAGATACAAACAAGTAGGCCTAGGCATAAATATATATTTCAAAACAATAAATCGACAGACACAAAAGCACAGAATCGTATGACCGGACTCTAATTAGTGATAAAGTTTTCCTCCATTAGTGGAAAAAGAAGGGCGCCGTGTGCGTCTGGATATACTTAGCAACAGAAGAGCGCCCTGTACGTCGGGTCCAAGTATAGAAAACTTGCATTATAAAAAGAGAAGGGTGCCGCCTACGTCTGGCCCAATTTTTGCCTCATTTTTGCTATGCAAGTGCTCTGTCTTGTATTTCTAGTATCTTTGTTTGTAGTTACTAGGCGTATTCGACTGATCTGTTTTGAGCAGCTCTTTCTACTCAAACTGCACATATCGTATTCGACTGGTCGCACGGGCAGCACAAACTCCTCGCAAGAGCGGCTCGAACTCCTCGCTGTTTTTGAACGAGCTTAACGAGCACACTCCGAGCTCAGTTTCAGAATTGCTGGAATTGAGATAGTTTACGTCAGGCAATTGGCAAAGTCTTTGGACTCATTGCTGGTACCTCATCAATGCTTTTTGATTTGTCATTGTGAAAAGGCCCTAGAAAAAAATGTCTTTGGAAAAAATGTGGACATTTGAAAATTTTTTTGGGGGGGTAGGTCGTACGACCATCCCAACCACCCCTTGCATACACCTATGTGAATGTCACTCAAAATGTTATTCTACTTTTCGCTTTTATTTTATCTTCATCAAGAAAAATACATACTGTACTACAAAGAGACGAAAAACAAAACAATACAAGTTACGAAAAATATATACTACAAAGAGACGAACTACAAAACAATACAAGTTTTCACAATAATTGGTCACAAAAATTACGATTGGGTACAAATTATATGAGAGACGCTGGAAACCTCGACAGACGTCGACCATGGTGTGGCGGAGCAGAGTTGATTGTGTTGAGCGATCGGGTGTTACTATTGATATACAGTACCGTCCTAATTATTAGTTATTTAACTTAATTATGAACCATAATTGTGGAATAATAAGTGGCTTTTATGAAAGTCAAGTCGTCAAAGAAGAATTAGTGTTGAATAATTGTAATTTATAAATAATTTAGTAACTATTTTCAGAGCTGGATGCGAAACCTCATTAGCGCCTCTGTTTGTTGCATTGAATTTAGCCTCCTTTACGCCTGTTTTTCACACTAGGGAATTTATTCGCACGGATCAAAGCATCGGTTCGCTTCCTGAGCTCTGATTGGTAGCACATTTTTTCACTTCGCAAAAACTCTGATAGGAATGTGAATGCGCATGAACTGAGGAATTTGATTCGCGCGGATAAATTCGTCTAGTAAAAAAAAACCCACTAGGCGGCGAATGTATTTACGCAATCGAAAGCGTCGTTCATGCGCATGCGTATTCACATTTCTATCGGAGTTTTTGCTACAGCGAAATTGGTAGTTAGAACTGTTTCTGCTTTTTGTGAGGCGTACAAAATGCGCAGCCAATCAGAGCTCAGGAAGCCAACCGACGCTTTCGATTCAAATAAATTCGCTTAGGCCTAGGCTAGTGTAAAATAGGCTTAAGGCCTAAATGGCTGTTTTCCACTAGGCAAATTTATTCGTGCATATCGAAAGCATCGTTCATGTGCATTCACATTTCTATAGGAGTTTTCGCAAGAACAACGCTTCCGATTCACACAAATACATTCACGTAGTGGAAAACCAGCTTAAGCCTGTGTTCCACTAGGCGAACTAACAAAAAAATCATATTTGGTGGGGCGTTTTTTCAAGCATTTACGGTAGGTCTGTATATTTAGAATCGTACAGTAATTAAAATGATCATATATTTATTTTAACATTTATTTCAGTATATAGGCCTAGCTGCAGAGCGTCTAATTTTCCAGGATGATGTGTTCTTTTTTTCAATCAATCATTCATAAAAGGATTTTTGCCTTAAGTCAATTGGGCCCACAATCAGACTATATCAGGTCCAGAATGATCAGGCCCATTTTCAGACTATTTGTACCCATTTTCAGGACGATCGGGTCCACTTTTTGGGCCCGATCATTTGTAATTAATGAGCGCCCTGTCGTCGATCAGAAAAATACTGTATGCCCTAGGCCCAAATAATTTTTACACATGGTTAAATTAAAAATAAAAATTATTCTGCGGCATTTAGAAAATTCCTATCTATTAGACTATGGTCGTGACCATATGCTATCTAGGCCTAACCATATTTTAATATTCATCACATAAATAGCTGTTTTTATTGTTAACCTAGGCCGTTCGACTGCACAACGACTGCAAGATCCCAAATGTAATGACGTCACAAAGTCACCAGTGCATACTGTACTGTACGTTGTCGTATGAATTCTACGCTCATGTTAACCTGATTCTACTGTTTAATGTGCAGAGAATGCAAGACAGTAACAGATGAGGAAAATGGTTCTACATTCATAGGCCTACATACATTCATTTATCAAAAATCTCTATTAATAATGCCACTTATTTTATGTTTAACATTCTACAATTTTAAATGTATTCAGATTGAAGATCTCTGCCTGGAATGTTGTCCCGAAAAAGAAATTCAAAACCAAAATATCCCAGTACAAAAGTGAGCGATTCTGAAGATGAAGGGAAACATATGGAGGAAATTGAAACACAGATGATGATTCCTGACTCAAACAAGAAAACCAGGCCCATTGGATTACAAGGGGACCGCTCAAATGTGGCAATTCTTTTATTTCTGTACATACTGCAAGGAATTCCTCTTGGCCTTGCTGGAAGTCTCCCACTAGTACTGCAAGGATATAAAATCTCCTACAAACAGCAGGCCATGATTAGCTTTATATTCTGGCCATTTAGTATGAAACTTCTTTGGGCACCAATTGTGGATGCTGTTTATATAGCAAGGCTAGGCCGGCGGAAAACCTGGTTGGTCCCAACACAATATTTTATAGGATTTACAATGATAGCACTGTCTGGGAGTGTCAATTCACTTCTTGGTGAGAAAGGCTCAGATTTTGAACCAAATGTTTTCGCTCTCACAGCCTTATTCTTCTTCTTGAACTTCTTAGCCGCAACGCAAGACATTGCTGTGGATGGGTGGGCTCTTACCATGCTAGCAAAACATAACCTTGGTTACGCTTCGACATGCAACTCTGTCGGACAGACAGCAGGTTATTTTCTGGGTAATGTTGTGTTTTTAGCATTTGAATCAGCAGAATTTTGTAATGCATATATTCGCTCAGAACCAGCTGATAAAGGGCTGTTTACTCTTTCAGGTGTGTAGTTTATTTATATTTAATAAATTGAATAGAACATGCTATAAATATCAGTTAGCATTTTATAATTATTTTAATAAAACGTTAATTATTAATTGTTTTATTTTCTTCCCTTCAGATTTTCTTTTCTTCTGGGGCATAGTCTTCATAGTCTGCACAACACTTGTATTAATATTCAAACATGAACGCAAAGACGAAGATGAATCTATAGAGGGCGTTTTTGGAACTTTCAAGCAACTTTATCAGATTTTAAAACTTGAATCAGTTAGACAGTACATAGTGATATGCCTTACAATAAAAGTAATGTTTGCCTTACATTTTTACCTAAACTTAGAGTACATAATTGTATTGAACTAAAAATAATAACTAAATATACAGTAATACAGACTCATCTGTAAAAATTTTATTAAAAATGCAAACCTCTGAACAAAATCTTGGTTAAAAAAAAACAAATCTCAAGGAGGCCTGTAAAGTTCCCAAGATATTTTTGCAAGTATGTGTGTGCAAGGTAAACAGCAGACTTGCAAAGGTTATGGAAAAAAATGTTCGACACTCATAGTCCACACAAAAATTAAGAATATGACACCTATATGGCCGTAAATGCATTTAGACACCGTACTAAATGCAGGGGACATGAGTGAACTAAAAAGGGATGCATCTTATCTTTCACTTTGGTGTTGCACGTATCTTCACCGCCTGCATATAAAATTCTATAAAATATTTGTTATTTTTTAGATTGGGTTTGCAGCTGCTGATAGTGTCACAGGTTTGAAATTGATAGAAGCTGGTGTGCCTAAGGAGAAGCTAGCCATGATGGCAGTACCACTTGTGCCAATACAAATCATTCTGCCCTGGGTCATAGCCAAGTACACTGCAGGGCCTAAGCCCCTGAATGTCATGTTGAAAGCAATGCCTTTTAGGTAAATATTCAATACTTGAGATTTGCCATCCCCAAATAAGCGTGCTGCCGCTAAATGATAAACTGCGTAATTAAGCATAAGAATGTGGTAGTAATGTTTATATTACAGAGAAGCCTAAATACTTTTACTCATAACTTGGGAATATAAAGTTGATTCCAGTAAATTTCTTCATTCATTCAATAGACTCATTTTGAAGCTTATAATATGGGGCATATGAATATACCTTTAACCTTTAACCTTTACTATTAAATACTAAAATGTTCTTATTTTGGTCAATGATGCTGGATTTGACATGGCAAGCCTCATTTTGTAACTCATATGAAACATTTTACTGTAGTCTATAAGTCAGTGGTTTAACGCCTATGCCCTCTCGTGTGGCGGTCCGCAGGGCCCCCGACCCTTATGGGCCCCAAAGGGGCTCCTACCATACGGTCGACAATCTAGCACTATGACCCAAAGGGTTTTCTTGAAACTGTACAGCATAGTGTGTCTCTGACATCGACTGTAGGACGTGCTGTATATCCTATTATATCCAGTGGTGGATTAAGGTGGGGTTAACAGCCTGCCTGGGTCTGCCTAAATCTGTCAAAAACTTTAAAATGGAGATAAAAAGAAAGTTATATTCAAATTTTAAGTCTGTAAGTGCCATTTCCGACCATCTTAGAAGTACCATAATCATAAATTCTCTTACCAACCATGGTGGGACTGAAGTGGTATAGACCCTCCATTTGTGAAAATCTCTCCCTGTTCACTGTCCCCTCTATTTCATTTTTCTTCATTAAAAACATTTAGAATGCAATGACAAAAACATGATGAAAACACAAGCATACCTAAAAATCCACAATGGAATTGCTGCCCCAGCATTATGCCACTGCTACAAGTGTCTGCTCTTTATTATTTATATTGGTTTTCTTTCAACAGTTTTATCAAAATATTTTATTACTTTATTTTTAATTAATACACAAGTGAATTCCCCTTGATTTCACTGTAAGTGAAGATTACTGTCAAAATGAGTTATTGGGTGACCAGACTTATTGATCCCAACCAGGTTAAAATATGTAATTCTACTGCAGTAGAACATTAATAGGATGTCCTGAGAATGATGTTGCTTCCATTAGTTTTGTTTAGTCATTTGGGGGAGGGGGGAATTTAATTGAGGACAAAATAAATGCCCCACTGTGTTTGTTTGAGGGTGGCATTTATTCCAATTGAGGCATTGAATTCTTCAAATAAATAAGCTATTTACAAATAATTATTTATTTAAATATTCTACAAGTTGCTGATTTACAGACTGTAGAATAGACATTTTAAAATTTGTTACCAACCAATAGTAAGTGGCTATGCAAAGCTATTATGGGAATGGTATTCATTAACAAAGGCTATCTGATACCTTTTTTATAGGAAAATTTTACAGAATTTTATTGGCTACAACCTAAAATGGTGCTTGCCATGCCAAAACCAGCATTATCAGTGACCAAACTATTAAAATTAAACTTTTTAATACTGTATATTCATATTCTCTACACTATAAGCTTTAAAATGATTAAATATTTACTGGAATCGACTATTACCAATGCCAAAGTTAGGAGTCAGTATTAAGGAATCTGTGTACTAAAGTACACATGTACTGCTGCATTCTCTGCTAATTACTGTCAGCCTATGATAAAAGCTTAAAAGTGACATTATTATTATCATTACTAATTGTTGTTGTATAATTAATAAAAAATTACAAAATTGTTATGTACATTCCTGCTGTCAACACAGGTAATATTTTTGTAATTACAGATTAATGATGGGTTTGGTATTTATGATTATTGTTAAATGGACTCCGACAGTAAAGCTTGAAAATGGTGACTTTCCATTTTATTATTACTTAATCATCCTCCTAAGTTACGGTTGCCATCAGGTATGTTGCCTAAATACTGTAATATACTTTGTTCTATATTTTAGGGTCAGTGTTTAATCAAAACCGTGCCATTTACCTTCTTTTTAATAAATTGTATCCCTACTATTAAACTGCAATGCTTCCACCACTTTTCTCCAGTATACTGCAGGTCCCCATTAGATCTACCATTCATGTCATGACATCATGTCAGAATTTTCTGAGATTTTCTATAGGTTTTAAATATTATAATTCCTTTGCTTTCTTCAGGTAACTCTTTACTGCATGTTTGTTGCTGCCATGGCTTTTCATTCTAAAATCAGTGACCCGCTTATCGGCGGTACTTACGTAACCCTTCTAAACACCGTATCAAATCTTGGTGGGAATTGGCCGGCAACGGTTGCACTATGGTTCATCGATTTTCTGACATTTAGATCATGTCATGGTGTTAGTAGTCAGGAATATGATTGCGATGTAAAAGAAGACAGAGAGGTAAGAATGTACTTTTGACAGCATCAATATAAAATAAAATTGCATGGAATGTTTGATGTACTGAAGTCTGATGTTTGATATACTAAAGTCTGATTTTGGGGATATACTAAATTTACAGTCTTTCTGTTGGTCAAGCACCAACTTCATACGCCACTTGAAGTTTTCCAGCCCAAAAAAAAATTCCATGGAATGTTTGATATGATAAAGTCTGATGTTTGATATACTAAAGTTATAGTCTCTCTGTTGGTCATGCACCGGTTTTCCAGTTAAAAGTAATTAAAAACAGTTTAAGACACATATACAGTACAGTATATGCATACAAAATCATATTGTTTAAAAATGTTAAGTAATAGGGCCAATTACAATTTAATGCTAAAATATATATACATATACGTAACCTTTATTGCAAACTAACTCACTGTATTTAGGATTTGATCAATAGAAAATTTATAACACCATAAAGATTTGCAAATGGTGACTTTGACTTCAAACATACAGTAGAAGTGGTTTAGCGCAGCAGGAAGGGTTTGGTTTCCAAACCTTAAGATGTGCAACTCAATTTTGTCCTTGAGCAAGGAACTTTATCTGCGTTGCTTCTCTCCATCCACCCAGGAGTATAAGTCAGTACCTGGTAGGGTTAAATGCCAAAATGCGCTCATCAGCTGCTGCAACGTTATGGAATATTACCCCAGGGGCCGAGTTTCATAGACGTTTAATAGAGTGACCGGGGCAAAGGCCTGTTTATACTTTAACGATAACGATAAAAAAAGCTAAAAAGCAATTGTTCATATAGAAAATAAAGAAATAAGAGAAGCTTTTACACTAGAACGATTGGATAATGAATTATCAGTTTATGCGATAACATATTTTGACAAATCAAGTCAGATGACATCATATCATGGAAAAACATTAAATTGTAGTAATAGCAAGGATTTTATCGTTTTTTCCATGATTATTACGTCATCTGATTTGATTTGTTAAAATATTTTGTTATCATATACATGAAAAATCGTTATCGAATCGTCCTAGTGTAAAAACTTCTCTTATTTCTTTTATTTACTACATGAACAATCGCTTTTTAGCTTTTTTATCGTTGAAGTATAAACAGGCCTTTATGATAATGGGAAGGGCATAGAGGGATTATCATAATAAATCTACCATTATTATTATTACTAAATAATTTACCATATTCTTTTAGGTGTGTTTAAAAGCCGGTGGAGTATGCCAAATAGACTACGACGGTTACTTCATTGAAAGTATTGCGTTTCTGTTGGTGGGTATGCTTTGGCTGAAGTTGATGTCAAAAAAAACAAAACAGCTGCAGAATCCTGATGTTGAATGGAGGCTATCAACAGTTTGGCGTGATTGAAAAAAACAATGAGAAATTGGAGGGGTCTTTAATTACAGGGATACCTATATAT